TGTTGAAACGGTGAGGAGAAGTTAACTATATCACTTCTAGGAGTGAAAGGGTTATTATATTACCCCAATTGGATTGCATTTCATATCATCTGGCTTGCATAAAGGAGGATATTTGATTGTATTAAAGCCTTTACAAATAGTTTATCCATTCATTGATGACTACAATTGAAGCTTTTTATCCATCAGGTGGAAAACATATGCATAAATACACCCAAAGAAGTATATATCATCCAAACTCGTTCCCATGGTCTCTCTTCTCCCCCCTCCCCACCCACAGCTGGGGTGCATAGCTATTGTTGTAGTTACACCTTGACGTTGCCAGGTCACGTGGTACTTGACGCTTAACTAACATTACAGAAGAAGAGTTTTATTCTTGTTCTGAGCTGGACGCCTACGACGTTGAAGAATTGAAAGAGAATTGAAAGAGAATCCGTAAGTTCTTTTCTTTCTTTCGTTTTCCCTCTTATCACTGATCAGCAACGTAAAATCTCGCCTAGGGCAATGCGTGTATCAGGTATAACAGCCTTAAGTTTTTGTACTTATCCTTCGCATACTGAAGGACCAAATAGGGAAATCGAAGTCGATCAAAATTTTAAAGGGTGTAAGTTTCTAAAGAAACGGTGGTACTGCGACGGTGGGAGAGTATTAAAAGGTAATTTAGTATTATGAACTGAGTTGATAACGTAAATTGGCCACCGTAAAGAGTTTCAAAACTGAAACTTCGAGCGCTGGCCCTTCGTCAGAGCGTTATCTCTTCGCTCTGACGAAGGGCTAACGCTCGAAACTTCAGCTTTGAAACTCTTAACGGTGGCCAATTTACGTTATCAACTCAGTTGACAAAACTAAGTTACAATTTTTGAAAACATAATATTGTAATCACATGTGCATTAGGTCTGAATTCAATTTCATCGGCGAACGCGCGACATGGCCTCCTATGTGCCACTAGGACAGGAGCTATATTTTGATCCACTCATTCTATGGCACAGAAGACCAAAAAATGGATTCATAAAGCGATTCTGATCATGATGTATCCTAATCTTTGCACCTTA